GCAGACAGTATAATGAGAAATGTCAAAAACAGGTCTGTGACAGTTATGATCGGCCCATAACTGGTGACAACCCTATTCCGGAACTTCGTTATGCAGATGATACAGTTCTTTTAAACAGTGTAAAGGGAACAGGACACTTAATCATGTCTGTCCAAAAACACAATGAAGATCAAAACCTTTTCTTGAGTGTATAGAAAACAAAAATAATGTCCACAGACAATACTCGTTCATCCCACACACACACACACACACAAAACATGATGAAGACACTGTAAATGTCACAAACTGTGAATATCTAGGCGCCATAAAAAAAAACAGCAATGGAGACTGTTCAACAGAAGTCACACAAAAAAGTATGGCCGTAATAATTCAAAGATTAAACAGCGCCAAAAGTCAATGGTTTCGCACCAGCAAGGAAATCAAAGTCAAAATTCTAACAGCGTGCATCTTCCATGCAGTAACATATGGAAGTCAGTCGTGGATTATCACACTTGCGGAGGGAGGGAGAGGGGGGTGGGGAGGCTTTTGAGCTGGAATGCTATAGAAAGTTTCTCAGAATATCATGGAGAAAAAAAATAAAAATACTGACATTCTAAAGGATGTGAACTATGGTTGGTTAGTTGCGTATCCTTTAAAGGACGTTGCAGAACCAACCCCAATAGCCCCTGGCTGTTGTGTGGTTTTTCTAGGCAAATTTACGCCCAATAGTTTGCCATTGCCTCTGGACGGTTGGCTTTCTTGGTACCACTGTCAAAACCAACGCAAGGCGCATAGCCCGCAGCTGGGATCGAACACGGCATTACGAAACGTTCGCATCGACTTAGAAAGGATGTGAACACCAAAAGAAAAAAACAAGATGGCTAATAAACAGTATCTAGTCTTGGAAACTCAAATATTTTGGCAGTATGAAGCGCTACGGCGAACTGCAAATAACAGCAGAAGGTTTGATACGTGGAAAGAAGGGCAGGGAGTGTCCATCACAATGATGGGCAGAGGATATAAATGACATCTTGGGTAGTAAAGTGCACAAGGTAGGAGAGAGAACGAGAGTCCAAGTTTCTTTCAGGCAGATATACAGCGATGAGAGCGATACTCTGCAAAGGACGTGCTACAGGATGATATACCCCTCAATTGGTGATAAAAGTGCAGAAGAAACAAATCACTTAAATCTATCAGGTGACAGTAATCACCGACAAACATGTGGGAGTTAAAATAACGATCTTGTAACCACATTATATCCCAGCTGCGGGCCATGTGCCTTGCGTTGGTTTCGACAGTGGTACCAAGAAAGCCGACAGACCAGAAGCAATGGCAAACTACTGGACGTAAATTTGCCTAGAAAAACCACACAACAGCCAGGGGCTGTTGGGGTTGGTTTTGCAACGTCCTGTAAAGGATACGCAACTAACCTAACCACATTATATGGTTCAAACCTCCAAAAGCTAAGGAATGCGTGCCATAGACAGAGAGCTAACAAATCCTAGGTATAAACTACCATGGTGACTGAACGGCAAGCGGTTTTTATTGCTTTCATTAGCGGCAAAGCACAGACCGGAAATCAATTAACTCCATTTAGGGAACATTAAACATGGATGAGCAAGTGGCCAAGCTGGTTAGAATACCAATCTCAAAACCATTTACCATGGGTTCAAATCTTCAAAAGGTGGTGAATGTGTGCCTATGGAAAGAAGGTAATCAATCCTAGACTTGTACACTATGGATTTCTATTCGAGCAGACCGCCTTGGTTTCCCCAGCTTGTATTAAAGCACATCTGCATAAAACGGCAAAGGGGGTGGTAGTGCCATAACCATGGTTTCTACTGTTGAAGATAATTTCCCATAGCAGTCCGAATTCTTTCTGCCACTACAAGGCCCTCAAATCAGGAAATAACAAGAAAATGCATTGGTGTCTTCAACACCACAATCTTGCCATAATACAATGTTTTACATGCATCAGTAATCAGTGCACTTGTTAACAAATGTTTTAGAATATTTAAAGAGGCAAAAACAGCAATGATGATGATACAATAAGACACAGCAGGTGAGGGCGAACACATTAAACAAATTTATTTAGATAATAATATTAAAGTACAATGAACAAGTCAAGTAAAGGTCCCTTTCCATGCCTTTCCAGGAGTATTGGGAATATCTTCTTCTTTGAGTTCACCAGCTGTAAACTCTGGCGGAAAGTTCTGGTTGTTCATCCACTTCTAGACTGCAGTCCTGTTTGAGAACCTGCGTGTTGCGTGTGCATCCGTTTTACAGATCTGACTCATTAGTATGCAGACTGCTGGTTCCTTACCTTTAAGCTCCCAATTAGTTGACTCTTAAGACATACTTTTGGGTAGGCAGTGAGTCTATTCTTGTTCTGCCTATAACAGGGTCCTGGAACCCACACGGGTTGTTCTGGGAATAGAGGGCTAGACCTGTATTTTTATAGACCAATTGGCACTTGGTGGCTGATGTGGTCAGCACCACGCCAGCAGCCTTTACTTCCCAGGACTGCACCTGTTTCCCACTCAAGGCAGGATCAGCTTGGGAGTCGAGGTCATCTTTTTTTTATAGTCCGGCTTCGTCAGGACGCGAACCCACGACTTTCCAAACTGCAGGCATGTGTCTAGCCGCCAACGTCACAATTACTCCCTACAGTACAATGAAAAACTCAGATAAAATAATTTCTCCAAAATAAGAGGACAGAAACCTATAAAATCATAAAGAAAGGGGGAAGCATTTTTTCAACTAAAAAACTGGCATTCAAGAGGTGATTAACAGAAAATGAAAGGCTAATCCAAAGATAGGATCATAAAACTGATGGCCATCACAGGCTGTCATGTGGGAAGTCTACCACTCTTAGGTTTTAGGCTTTTTTATACGATGTGAGATTCCTATGGCTAGAAAGTGGAATTCCTATGACTAGGATGTGGGAAGACTCACTACAACTATGATTTGGGAAGGCTACCACTACGATGTGGGAAGTCTATGACTTTGATGCGGGATTCCTATAACTATGGAGCGGAAAGACTAATACTGTGATGTGAAAGACTACAACTATGATGTGGGAAGATTACCACTATGATGTGAGATTCATATCACTATGATGTGAGAAGTCTATGAATATGTGAAATTCCATCTTTATGTTGTGGAAAGACTCCCACTATGATGTGGGATTCTTATCACTATTATGTGGAAAGACTAATACTATGATGTGGAAATACTCCCACTATTATGTGGGAAGACTCCCACTATTATGTGGGAAGACTAATACTATGATGTGGAAATACTCCCACTATTATGCGGGAAGACTAATACTATGATGTGGAAATACTCCCACTATTATGTGGGAAGACTCCCACTATTATGTGGGAAGACTACCACTATAATGTGGGATACCTATTACTATGATGTGAGAAGTCTATGACTATGTGAGATTCCCATCACTATGTTGTGGAAAGACTAATACTATGATGTGGAAATACTCCCACTATTATGTGGGAAGACTCCCACTATTATGTGGGAATACTACCACTATAATGTGGGATACCTATTACTATGATGTGAGAAGTCTATGACTATGTGGGATTCCCATCACTATGTTGTGGAAAGACTTCCACTATGATGTGGGATTCCTATCACTATTATGTGGGAAGACCAATTCTATGATGTGGGAAGACTCCCACTATTATGTGGGAATACTACCACTATAATGTGGGATACCTATTACTATGATGTGAGAAGTCTATGACTATGTGGGATTCCCATCACTATGTTGTGGAAAGACTTCCACTATGATGTGGGATTCCTATCACTATTATGTGGGAAGACCAATTCTATGATGTGGGAAGACTCCCACTATCATAAGGGATTCCTATCACTATGATGTGAGTAGTCTATGACTACAGAGAATTCCCATCAATTTATTGTGGAAAGACTCCCTATGATGTGGAATTCCTATCACTATTATGTGGGAAGACTAATACTATGATGTAGGATTCTTATCACCATGCTGTGGGAAGACCACCACTATGATGTGGGAAGATTACCACTATGATGTGGGCTTCCTATCACTAAGATGTGGGCTTCCTATCATTAAGATGTGGGCTTCCTATCACTAAGATGTGGGATCCCTATCAGTAAGATATGGGCTTCCTATCACTAAGATGTGGGATCCCTATCACTAAGATGTGGGCTTCCTATCACTAAGATGTGGGCTTTCTATCACTAAGATGTGGGCTTCCTATCAATAATATGTGGGCTTCCTATCATTAAGATGTGGGCTTCCTATCACTAAGATGTGGGATCCCTATCTGTAAGATATGGGCTTCCTACCACTAAGATGTAGGATTCCTATCAATATGGTGTGAGAAGTCTATGACTATGATGAGTGTAGACAGCACTATGAGGTCAAAGATGTGTCAAGCAAAATACATGACAGCAGCTACACATCTAAAGATCAAAAAACACTTTTATAGAGATATGACTGGCTGCCTCAGCAATATTTACAACTGGGTAAGAAATAAATGAAACATTCATCAAACAGAACAGTAGATATGAGACATTTAACAGTAATATTACACACATGAGATATTTGGAATTTGACTCTATTCTAAGTATTCCTCCGTATGACCACATCTCTGAGGCTTCAAGCTATCATCTTTCTAAAACAGTGAGGGTCACAAGAATAACTAAAAGTCCTGCTTAAGATGAGCCATTAACTACACACATAGACACAGTCAACACGAATTAGAGACTTGAAATGAGCCTCAGAGATGTGGATATACAAGATATCACCATATTTTAGGAGGGAAAAAATAATCATACACAGAGATTCTGGAAAAGGGGACTATCGTCTTCTTATTCTTAGCATTACCCAGCTGAAAGTTCTGGCTGTTAGTCCAATGAACAGACTTCCACATCAAGAAATGCATTCAAAACAGATAAACATGTCCTGTTTCAAGGACACAGGCACAAACAACATCAGATACCGACTACAGAGTACTCACCATTGCCTGCTCAATCTTGTTATCAATCGCCACTGAGCTTCCTCCACTGATGACAGAAACAAGAAGGACATTTTGAAGTTTTTTAGTATACTGTGTTTATTTCTGTTAACAAATAAGTATCTGTCACAAATAAACTTATATAACCAATAACATTTGAGAACCTCTTATAAAGTTATAATTTTAGTACACTGAGACCTCACATTTTAGTATTATTTTAGATAATAAGTATAAGTCAGAAAGAATGTAATACAACTCATAACAATCTGTGATTTCTATATAATTATAATTTTAGTACATGGTGACAAATACTGCCAGTCTTCTTCGTTATGAGAAGGAAACAGTATCTGTTACACAAAAAATAATGTAACCAATAAAATTTAAGATAACCTCTAAAAAGTTATAATTTTAGTACAATGTGAACCCCAAAACTCTTTTATTTAAAGTTAGGAGCATCTGATATCAGTTTTCTTCTTCTTCATCAGCATTAAACTCTGGCTGAAAGTTGTGTTTGTTCGTCCACTTCTGGACTTAAGTCCAGTGCCAGAACTTGAAATTTGTGTGCACATTAGTTTTCTGACTTATTTGTAGGTTGACTGTTTGTTTCTTGCTTCTCAGGCAGAGGCACTCTTGACTTCAGAGGATGCTATTCTTTCCCCCCGCAACGGGGCCAGGAACACACACGGAGAATGCGTGCTCTATTCTTTTCCCCCGCAACAGGGCCAGGAACACACACGGAGACGTGTCATCAGTAAAAAATAACCTTATAGCAAGGCACTGCCCTTAGCTATAACACAAGATGAGGTGGCCAGCGTTCTTACTCGCTTCCTTTACTTCCTAGACAATTCTAAATATTTTTAAAAATATGGTACACATTTTTATGAGGCTGGGTTGACCCCAGAGCTGCGGCCGTTTCACACAAAACAAATAATATGGGAACTAAGCCTAGACTAAGGTCTTGGCTAGAAATCACACTAACTACTATGCTAACACAGCTCCGGACAATGAGAACAGATCAAGAACTGACATCCCTGCACTTGGGACATTCCCACATGTGCTCTGTCTCATCTCTCAGTAATCCAAGTGATACATCTGGAAAAACTCCTCTAGCCTTAACAACATAGATGGACCAAACACCACTACCCACATGAGAACTGTTAACAGTCTAGACAGGCAGTAGATAATTAGATAGTAGACAGACAGACAAGTTAATAGACAGACAGACAGACAAGTGAATAGACAGACAGACAGCAGACACATAAATAGTATATAGACAGATAACAGACAGACAAATAGTAGACACACAGACAATTAACAGCAGACACATAGATACATACACACACAGAAAATAGTCTAGCGTATTGTACAGACACATTTAGATATATAGCCGATTATATGCTTAACTGTTTAACTTTGTGTAAGCTGAACGACTTCTGTAAAAGCCTTTGATGGCTGACAGCTTGTACATTCAGGCTTAATCGCAGCACATTGATTCTGTACTAATACAAGCAACAAATTGTGCACACAAATAATGAATCATGTATATAGTGAAATAAAAGTCACGATAGAAATGATGGTTAAGTATTTATGTTAGGTGTCACCAGGAAAGTTCGACTTAGGAACAATGATATCAGGAGAAGAGCCTGCACAGAACCAATACTGAACTTTACAGGAAGACAACAAATAAAATGGTTTAGCCAAGTAACAAGATTGGCATCAGACATGGTACCAAAGAGAGCAGTGTTTTACAGATTCAACAGTAACACAGAGCCAGTGGTCAACCACACAGAAGATAAGACAACAGAAATATCAGAGACACAGCAGGTACTCTATACAAAATTAACTGAAGGGCCCGTTACAGAGATCTCTTCCTGCCCTGACGCCGCAAGGCATCCCAGGAGAAGAGAAAAGAAAAAGTTAAAAATGGCTGCAACATAGGATTGCAGACATAAAACAAAAGCCTGACTATCAAAACACATTAACTAACATTATTTCAAGAATTGTACAGAAATGTCTGCACAACTGCTGTTATCAACAGTTACAAGACTAAGAAGATATCAATATACTGGGCACATCCTGGTAAGAAGCAAACAAAGAACCACCAAACAGGTGCTTAAATGGGTAACTGGTAGACTGAGGTCAAAGGTGCTGGCCATAATCCATCTATGACATCAAAAAAGACTGCATCAACATGTAGCAGGTCCTTTGCACAACATCGCGCTCATCACAGCCTGCCTGAAGGAAACTCAGTCTCTCTACTGGACTCCTGCTTCGTGAACTTTTATATCTAACAAATGAGTAACTTAAATCATGTGCCCATTTTCATGTTGGTTGACTCCTACCCCTCCTTCTTGGTACGATGTCTTCTGCTATTATTGTTTTCCAATACGCTGTAGGCGTTAAAATGGTCAAAATATTTCAGCTGCCAAGACAAGATGCTGTTTATCAGCCAATCTTCCTTGTTGTTCAAACCTTTTAGAATATCAGTGTTTAAAAGGACTGAACATGACAAAATAGAATGAGCCCTACATGTGTAGATAAACGGCAAAACAGGTCGGCGATGACAGTGTTGCCTATGATGATGAAAGGGCTGCAACTGACTGTAAACTGTGTGATTTTGTCACATTAGCAAAATTTACTTTTTTTTTCTTCCAGAGGGCTGTTTTTTGAAAGTTTGATAGCCCTAGCAACCCAAATAGTTGTGTCCTTGATAGCAATCCAACAGGCAATTACCAGACAGACTGTTTAACTTCGTAAGAAATTATAATGAGACCATATGGATTGGCCAGACCAAGTAAAACCTTGCCGTCCTAAGCAGGTAAGGAATGTCTGAGTAAATACTATGAGGGCTGCAATCAAATGTGAAACTGTTATTCAACAAATGAGTTAGTGTGCGAATGTATGTATGTAGGCACATGCACGATACCACATTGTAATAATATTTAAGTAACCCGCTGTTTCAGAGACTTTGTGTCGGCTATCATTTCTCTTTCAAATAGGATTCAGTAACTGCTAAAAAACAAAAACAGCTTCTGTGTATTCCGTACGTGATCTGGACTGCACATTCACAAGGACTGCCACAAACAGCAGCACTGAGAAAATTACAACTATGTGGCAATACTATGTAAGGGGCATAATCGAGGAAAAGTATTTGCTCTATAGACAAATCAGAGTTATTCACCTTAGACACACAATACTACTACTTCAGTTTGACATGACATTTTTCGTCCTAACACTGCCAATTCCAATCGTACAGATTTAAAAAAAAACGTCCACCACTCTTAACCTGCTGCAGCATTCAGTTACATTTGTGGTCAATTTTATGTGTGCAAAGTATTTGAGCCAACCCATAATTAATCACCTATTATTACACGCTTATTAGGAAGCAGTGGCTTTTCTCTACCAACACTACAATCTCTTCATCCCCCTGTGAGATGCAATTTATCGTTATTTTGAAGCCCAATTCTGGCTTTTGTCGGGGCCCCTAAAATATGGTCTAACGGCTGGACGGGGTTTCCGGAACCTCTCTACAGGTGATCCTCATCTGCATGGTGGCATTTTGTGTCACCGGGTGTTTATCGCTTGTTTGCCTTACTTTCTCCACTAACACCGGATTTCTGGAACCCACATTGGAAAGACAAAACTACATGGTCCCTTTTTACAGAATAGCTGATATAAGAGATACTTGTGCCTAAGATTTAGTATAGTATGTTATAAGCTGCGGAGATGTGATTGAAAAGCGAGAATACCCAGGACAGATAAAAAAGAATGAAAGACATTAACTTACGGAGAAAACTGATTGATTACATCACAAAGAGATAAAAAGTGGAGCATATCGTGACAGTAGGAATGCTGGAAGGGACGAGGGGAAGAGGGAAATTTGACAGAGAAAATGGAAAGTTGGACATCATGGCATGGAGGATCATCTGTATCATAGGTGACTGAAAGTACACGACACAGAAGGTTGTGGGTGGACATGACTACCAACGCCACACCGCATGGACTTTTAGCAGAAGAAGCACGAATGAAAAAAGAAAACTATTGGCTGCTTCAAATCTTTGGGAAAAAAAAGTGATCCACAATGATGGGCCTAAAGAATGCAAGTCTTCTTCTTCGTGTTAAATGGCTTATACTCTCAAATGTGAAAATGTTATTTCACAATTGTGCACGTTGTCTGTGAATCAGGCGTTGCCAACGCGCTTCGTTATGCTGGGATGCCGGGTAGATCTGGGCGGCGGACAATTTGTCTTGCGTTTGTTCCAACAATGGTACCAAGACGGAAAAACTACCGGAACATAAAATTTGCCTAGAAAAATCACAACAGTCACAATATGCTGGGGTTTGGTTCTGCAACGACCTGTAAAGGATACGCAACTGTATGTATGTGCCTGCGTGTGAACGTAAGTATGCATGCGCGAGCACATAAAAGCACGGACTATGCCTCATCATAATTATAAGATACAAGTATCGCGGTATTCAAAAGACTTTGTGTCAGAAATGATTTCTGGTTAGAATATGATTCAGTACTGCTTAAAGAAACAATAACAGCTCATATTCGTGAGTTATTTGGGGCTGCACAGTCACAAGGACTGCCGCAAACAGTAGTAGTGAGAGGGGAAATGACACAACTGTGTGGTAATTTATCTAAGGGACATAATCGAGCTTACGCATTGCTCCATACAAGTAAGAGTTATTCACCTTAAACACGTTATTCCTTCAGCAGTTGCACCGGGGGAGGAAAAAACAGCGCCACGGGTCTTTCGTCCTAACATATCTACTTTCAGCAAACAAGTTCGAATTCCACCTGCCCGAACAAATTGCTGCAAACCGCTGTCGCTGTAAGCAGGTTCGGTTATATCCGCGGTATGGTTTATTTGTGCCAAGTATTTCAGCAAACCCCTAACTAGTTGCCTAATATTACACGCATTGGAAAGATATGTAGCTCCTATACGATGGGAAACCTACTGGTCCAGGTGGTATCCCAGCAGATGCTATTAAAGTCAGTAAAAGCAGGAATGAAAAATGACAACTACTGATTCCTTAAGATGA